CACATACTCTCACTCTGCTCTTCTCTGCACCCAGTTCCATCTGTACAATAACTTTTTTTCCTTCTTAAATGTATTATCACTACCATCTCTGATGGGCTTAGCCTTGGCCAGCAGCAGGTCCATCCTGGATCTGGCTGGCATTGGCTCTRCTGGACAYGGGAGAAGATTCTGGCAGCTTCTCACATTAGCCACTCCTGTAAGCCCCATTCCCACTATGAAAAGCTAGCCATGAAAATCCAATACAGTCCCCTTGTTTCCATGAGGCCCTGCWGTGTCACAGTGTCCCCTGGGTACCAGGGGACCCTGCAGGGTTGTGAACACACCTGGGGCAGGTGGCTCAGGGGCAGGAGCAGTGGGGCTGGATGTTGAACTCTGCAGGAGAGTCTAGAGAAATAAGAGGCCATGAACTGTTAGCCCTTGGCACAATAGAGGGCCCAGGGCTGTGGTGCAGGCAAGGGAGGGACATTGAGAGAGAMTACAGGAGCCGAGGACTTTGGAGCAAGAGCTGAGACTTAAGACTAGGGCCTGCACTAACTACAGATACCCCTCTCCMCTTCTCTGTCTCTCTTGCCATCCTGGTGCCCCTCCCCATCCTTCTCTTGTTCCCAGGATCCCATTTTCTGGCTCTTTCTCTACCTCCTTCCTCCCACTGTTCTCTTCTCTCTCTTCTTTCTGTCCTGCTGGACAAATGGGGCAGCCCAGGTGGGACCTGTGAAGTGAGGGGTGGCCTGACCAATAGTTTCCAAATGGAAAGCAACAGGCTTCCAGGGTTCTTTCATTAGTGCCTGCCTTTATTGGGTTTGCATGGGCAGRTTTTGGTGATGGGGGGAGGGGGAGGGCTACAGGGGTGGCTTCTGCAAGAAGCTGCCAGAAGCTTACCTTGTATCCAGCAGAGCCAACACCAGCTGGCTCCRACAGGCACACCACTGGCCAAAGATGGGTCAAACAGAGATGGCAGTGACACCACAGGGATAATGGATTYAAGAAGGATGAAGTTCTTGGGCAGAGAGAATTGGGTCCAGAGAAGAGCAGAGTGAGAACATGTGAGAGGAACAGCTCTGCAGACAGCCAGGGCTGTGCAGAAGGARGGGTAGGAGCTGTTCCAGGTGCCAGAGCTGAGATCCCCCTGCAGCCCCTGGAGGAGCCCACACCAGAACAGGGGATGCCCAGAAAGAAGGATTTGAGCCTGTGGGAAGCCCATGCTGGAGTAGCCTCCAAGCAGGGCCCCATGGAACACTGGGGAGAGGAGCCCACACTGGAGCAGCTTTGCTGGAAGGACTTGTGGCCCTGTGGGGGACCCAAGCTGGGACAGGGGAAGGACTGTGACTCCTCTGCCTGAGCAGCAGCAGGAACAAGGTGGGATGAACTGACCGTGACCCCCGTTCCCATCTCCTTGTGCCCCTGAAGGGAGGAGGAAGAGCCCAGGAAGGAGGGAGGGGGGAGGAAGCGGGGGAGGGGGGGGGGGTGTTTATAAGATCTATTTTACTTTTTCTTACCCTGCTCCGATTTTGATAGGTAAATAATTCAATTCCAATCCTCGAGTTCAGTCTGTTTYGCCCATGAGTGTCCCCTCCCTGGTGTCCGGCGGGCGATGCTGGCCCTGATGCCCCCAGCACACGGATGACCCTCCTGGCTGCCAGGCTCTGSTGACTCAGATCTAACTGGGCATCGCTCAGGATCGCCAGGCTCCTCCTCGCAGCTGCTCTCCAGCCTCTCCTTTCCCAGTCCATGCACACAGTCAGGGTTCCCGGAAGAGGAGGAGGAAGAGGAGAAGAAAGGATGAAGAAGGAGAAGCAGGGGAAGACGGATGAAAGACGGGAAGGAGGAGTAAGGGTTCAGCAAGAAAAAAAACAGCCGAAGGAAGAACAGGAGGGGAAGAGGAGAGAGAGGAGGAAGGGCAGGAGGAGGAGCAGGAAGAGGAGGAGCCACAAGTCCACGGCTCTTTGTGACGGCAGGAGCTCCGCTGTAGGAGCATCCGTCCTCGCCTCCACATCCCGCAGGTGACCGGGGATGGGCCGCTCGCCGCAGATATCATGCGAGTTCCTGGGAGAGTTTTTCTGGGAGGGAGACCCTTAGATCTTCCTGGACTCCAAAGCTGAGCCGAAAATTCTCCTTGGGGGGATATTGGAGGGTCCCCAGGAGGTGGGGTTTTTTGGGGTGGTCCCGGTAGCGGCTGCGCTGCGAGTTGGTGTTTCTGGGTCAGGCGTCCCCATTGTCAGACCGCCCTCGTGGCGATCGTGGGACACCGGTTTTGGGGACCCTTCGGAAGAGCCGAGGTGTGTGGAGGGACCTTCGGAGAGGCGATACCGGCACTGCGGGACCCCCAGCAGCCTGGATGGGGTCGAGCACGGAGAGGGAAAAGCCTGGGGAGGAGGTACACCCGCGGCTCAGAAGCGGGGGACTCAGAGAGGAGGGACCGCCGGCAACCAGGAGAAGGGGACAAGTTGGACACAGCTCCCCCAAGGATCGCCCAAGTGGGAAAACCAGAGTGGGGGAGCTCTGGAATCCCCAGCATCTTGAATCAGAGAGTCAGGGGAGAAAGCACCCACAGGATTCCCAAAACCCCAGCACCCCTAAGCAGGGGGACCTCGGAGAAGGGGGAGGGACACACTGGACCCGTAGCAGTGCCCTAGAGAAAAACAACCTCCAGAATCCCAAAGTGGGGAGACCTCTGGGATTCTCTGGACCCCTGGCATCCCAAAGAGTGTGGATCCCCAATACACAGTGGACTCCCAGCCACCTGGACAAGGGGGACCACTGAAACACCAAAGTGGAGAGACAAGAGAGGGAGAAGTCCTGTGAGATTTTTCTTTGGCAAGATCTTCATCTTTCAAAATTTTTAGGGGGTGAATCTTGGTATTTTGGTGACTTTTTTGACTAAGTCTTGGTGGTTTGTAGTTTTTGGGACTGAATTTCCTATTTTATTTTTTCCTATTTATTTTTTGGCTAAATCTTGGAGTTTTGGGGGTTKTGTCTTAATGTTTTGGAGGTTTTTATAGAGACAAGATGCCTTGTGACTTCTAGAGATGGACTTGGGAGGAGGAATCTCCAATCCAGTATACACACATCTTGTTTTTCCCCCCAAAACAGGATTTCTCATCCCAAACTTTGGCCGGATGGAGGATGAGGGTGCAAGGAAGACGAAGATGCCCTGGGACACCCAGGCAGGTGAGGAGGACATCACTGCCCCTTTCCCTCTCTCTTCTGACCATCACCCAGCCCAGCTTTGTTCCTGGCTGGAGGACAACCCCRTTGCCAAYRCCATTTTGGCGGGGATGGATTTGGGGGCATGTCCTTCCCCTTCCCTCTGGCACAGAGGCAAATCTCTTTCCTCTCCTTCTTTCTTCCTCCTTCCTTCTCCCTTCTCTGTGTTTCTCCCTCTCCTTTCTTCTGCTTTTAACCTTCATCTCCTTGTTCTTCTTCCCTCTCATTGTTCCTTCTGTTTCCTATCTTTTTTCATGCTCCTTCATCTTACTTATTTTTCCTCATTCTTTCCTCTCCTTTCTCATTCTTCCTTTTCCTTGTTCCTTCTTCTTTTTCATTTCTCCCCTTCTTCCTTGTTATGCCTTCCTCAATTTCTTCCTCTCCCTCTTCCTGCTTCTTCTTTCTTTCACTCTCTCCTCGGTCCTTCCACTTGCTCATTCCTTCTTCTGTCTCCTTTTTCCTTCCTCTCCTTTTTCCTTCCTCTCCTTTTCCCTTCCTCTCCTTCTTCTCTCGTCCCCCAGCGAATGAACTGCACACGGAGACCAGGGATGACAAATTCCCGCATCAGAACCTTGTGGAAGAGGCCATTTTGAGCAGTTCCACAGCACAGAAAGTCAACAAGGAGGAAAAGCCCTGGAGATCCCCCCTGAGGCGGGGCTCCAAACCCAACCCAGGGAGCTCCRAGGAGGAAAGACCCACCCTGTGCCAGGAAGGTGGCCAGAGATGCAGCCAGAGCTCTGACCTGGTGGTCCATGAGCACATTCATGACAAGGAGAAGCCCTACAAGTGCTTGGAATGTGGGAAAAGCTTCAGCTGGTGCTCCCACCTGATCCGCCATCRGAAGATCCACACWGGGGAACGGCCCTACGAGTGTGGGGAATGTGGGAAGAGCTTCAGCCAGAGCTCTGACCTGGTGGTCCATCAGCGCCTTCACACAGGGGAACGCCCCTTCAAATGCTTGGAGTGTGGAAAGGGCTTCAGCAAGAGGTCCAGCCTCACATACCACCAGCGCTTTCACACTGGGGAACGACCGCACACTTGCTTGGAATGTGGGCAGGGCTTTAGCCAGAGCTCCCACCTTGTCAGCCACCGCCGGCTGCACACAGGGGAGCGGCCCTACAACTGCTTGGAATGTGGGAAGAGYTTCAACCGCAGCTTCAGCCTTGTCATCCACCAGCGTGTCCACACTGGGGAACGGCCCTAYGAGTGTCACGAGTGTGAGAAGAGGTTTCGGACCAACTCTGATCTCCTCATGCATCAGCGGACGCACAGGGAAGAGAGGCCCTTCTACTGCACTGATTGTGGGAAGGGCTTCATCCGTAGCTCAGACCTAGTTAAACACTGGCGTGTCCACACCGGGGAGAGACCCTACAGGTGCGTGAAGTGTGGAAAGAGCTTCACCCAGAGCTCTGCCTTGGCCTCACACCAACGGACCCACTGGTAAGAGAAGCCCTTCAAGTGCYCCTGCTGTGGGAAGAGCATTGGAGGATCCATGTTGGGCAGAGGCCTGGTGACCCATATTCCCGGTGATCCACATTGGAAGATACCTGACTTGTGCTCTCCAATCCTCCTGGTTCCCCATAGACACCTCAATGAAAGCAGGGGCAGGAAAATCCATCGGGACACAGACTGACACCAGAAATTCTTTGGGAAGAGCAGATTTGTTGACTTTATACCCCAAAAAAATTTCATCTGCTCTATCCAGTCATTTCTTCCTGTGGCATCAAGCAACACTGGGTGGTCTTCAGGGTCTTTTCCAACCTAAATAATTCCATGATTCCACTAATTCTGTCTGGACCATGGGTGTCTTCCACAGCCAGATGGTGATGGACTGGGGCAAAGACCAAATTGTCGAGACAATAGAGTGGAGACACCTCCAAAAAAGGCTCTTCCACCCACCCAACCCAACGCCATGGATACTGACATGATGCTGACATGTAAATCTTTTTAATTTTGCCTTGATTTTCCTTTGATTCCTGTTCATCCTTCCAAAACACTTGAGGTTGGGGTAAAAATAAAGAAATCTAGTAAAGACCTCTAAACCACCACCATTTTACTGGAATTTTCAGGGTTCAGGGGGATATTTTTGGAGATGTGGAAGAGTTTTCTCCATCATTTTGCACCCCAAATCTGAGAGGGATCAGTCTATTACATCAAAATAATTCAATCCCACTGAATATGGCTCAATCCCAACCTAAAATAGCTTGATCCCACCCCAAAAGGGCATGATCSCACCTCAAAATGGCTTAATTCCACCCCAAAAATTACATAATCCCACAGCACCCCCAAAACCCCAAGGAGGGGTGGGATGGGGTGTGATAGGGATTGGGAGAAGTGAGATGTGAATTGTGAGGGGTGGGATGTGGATTGGGAGGAGCGGGATGGAATTTGGAATAGAGGAATGGGTTTTGGGAGCAGTGGGATGGGATGGGATTGCACGGCACGGGACGGGACAGGATGGGATGAGATGGGGGAAATAGGGTTTGGAAAGGGGACCAACTTTCATATCCAGGAGGGGTGGGATTGGGAGTGGGAGTGGTAGAATATGGGTTAGGGTTTGGAATTAAGTTTGGGAGGGATGGGAAGGGATCCGGAATAACACAGCAAAAGATTGGGGATGTTAAGGATGGTGGGGGACCATGTTCGCAAAGGTTTTTCAGGGTATCACCCAAATCTGTGAAGGTATTAGGGTATCTGCCATCCCTGAAGGGATTTTGGGATATTCCCCATTCCTGAGAAGATTTTCGGGGTACCCAGAATCCTAAGTGGGAGAGGTGGGAGGCATGCGGCACTGGCATTTGGAGGGGACCCCCATAGGAAGCAACACAGGGAGCCCATTTTGGAGACGACCCTGCTGCTTTCTACTTATTTTGGGGCATTATAAACAGCTTTTGGRAATATACTGCTCATTTTGGGGGCTGAAGTGATTCCCCCCGATTTTGGGGGGCTGTGGTGATACCCCCTCATTATGGGAGGATGAGGTGRCTCTGTTTTGGGGAGGATCCTGCTGCTTTCCACTAATTTTCAGGGTTATTGCTTGTGGAGGCCCCCTGCCCTCRTTTTGGGGGATTGGGGCGACCCCATGGTTCCTCTGATGGCTGAGGGGTTATAACTGGSTTGTGGAGGTCTCTCGATAGCGAGGCAACGGGGTGGGGAGGGGCAGAAAGAGGGAGTGAGACAATAGGAAGCAGTGGGGGCAGGACAGAAAAAGGTGGGGTACGACCCATCAAACCAAGAGTGGGGGATGGTGGGCTGGGGATRTGTGGGATGATGGGAAAAGGGTGGACGGTGATACCTATGGTTTATGTCAAAGTGACAAGGTGCTTGTGAGGCCTATTGATTGAAAACTACCTATAATTTTTTTATACATTATCCATATAAGAATGTAATAAGCTTTTACATATTATTAATATACAATGTAACAGCTTTCAATAAATTATCAATAATAGCCTTTTCATATATTGTTATAAGTTTTTATATAGGGTATTAGAAACATACCGTGGACCAGCTGGATGTAATTCAACCAGCTGGATTGGTTCCTGGACAAAACAGAATCACCAAGGGGCATAAATCAAAAAAGTTCTGAAAAAAGTAGACAGGTAGATGCTCTATTGAAGAACAGTCGAGAGCACCAATGAGAACTTGGCAGAGGCACAGGACAGTCAGCAAAATAATGGAAAATGAAGACCTGGAGGACTAGAAAAAACATGAACACCACAACTGCGCATGCCCTGAAGACAAAGGTGAGAAGTCCACTATGATGAAGATGATGGTATCTCATTAGAGGGAGACCCTCATGACCACCAAATTGAGGATGATGCATGTGTGCTTGCATAACTGTGATATCATGTATTTCCATGCCCATATATGGCAGTGGGCGTAGTGACGATGGTAATGTTATACCATGCTCACTGTATAAATACCTGCCAATTCTAAGCGAAGGCAGGCGGGTTAGGAGGAGAGATCCTCCTCACCTCCAGCGCTACACCAGTGCTGCAATAAACAAATACCTGATCTATAGACATCTGTCTATGGAGTTTTATGAGTTTTATTTTTAGGCCTTTTTTGAGCATCAAAAGTTTGGTCTGGGACTCATAAAYGGACTGGGAGTGATACAGGATCCATAAAACTCAGTAAAAGGGGCAAGTTGGGCCCCCAAATTTAGTGGGAGGTGGGTGGCAGCCCCAAACCAAGTTCTGGAGAACCTGGAGAATGGAGGTATGATGGGAAGGGAGTGTGAGAGAGTGGAGCAGAGGGTCTTYGACTCCTGAACCAAGCATTGAATTCCCAATATCCAACAGGGGGATTGGGGACAACCTGAAACCTAGCTGTGAGGGGAGCTGGGGATTGTAGGGATGATTGGAAATGGGTGGGAGAATGAGGAAAACTGGGGGTGGRACAGTAAGCAGGAGCATCCCATTTGGGTCCTGTAGCCAGATGCTCTGCCTGGAGTGGGGTCAAACAACATGAACAATGCCCTGTTTGCAAACACGCCAGCAGTAAATGAAGAAGGGGATTCCCACTGCTTTTAGGGTTGAATGACAGGGAAATAAGATACAACTGATCTGTTACAATCCAGGACAGAGGAATGTCTTGGGTTGATTTTGTGCCAACCCTGTATTCCCATATTTCGTCTGCTTTAATGCCCAAAATGTACCTGTGCCTTTAARRCCGGAAGAAGGGGCAGGGGYGGCTGGGAAGGCAGCGCGGGCAGTTAAAAGACAAAGACAGGGCTGCCGAGAGGCCTTGGCGTTGGGAGATCATTTGGGCGCTGCGGGAACTCACCTTGCTGCATGCAGGGCAGTTATATTGTTGCYGCTTAGCTAGCTCGGGTTTGTTATCTTGGGCAAACAGCTCTCCTTGGACTGCCRCCCCTTCTCCRACTCCTGTGATTTTCTGGAGCAGATCGGCAGGAGCTGTGATCCAAGAACTGGGAAGCAAGTGCCACAGGTGCCACTGACTCATTCCAATTTTCTGGAGAAACCAGGCCAGCCAGAGGAAAGCACACCGAGCCCTCTGTTTCATCCACAGTGAGGAGAGGACTACCACCAGTTTCCCACTGTTGCCCAAGTGGCCACGTGGACTTGTTTTTCTTTTTTACCTGGGACAAGAGCCACGCCATCTTTCTCCACACCATTTGCCAAGTGGCTGTGGGGGGAGGGAGTGGCATGCATTCCTGAAGATTTAAATATCCAACACTTACTCATTTTTGTTTAATTTGTGTCCTGTGCGCACTTTGTCTTGTTAATAAACTATTTTTCTCTTCACATTTGCCCAAACTATTATTTCATATTGGTGGTGGTGGGAGGGGGGGAAATTATCAAACTTTTCACTTCAGAGGAARCRTTTATTGCTGTAAYATTTTTCTCTGATAATATTGTTTCAAACCAAGACAAAGAACAACCAAGTGATTCCACTGATAACTTATCCAAAGCTGCTGAGCTGCCATAGCTGCCTGGGCATATCTGACTGACAGTGCAGCACTTAAGACCTGTCCCAAAGTTTAACTGCAGGGTCTCCTGACAYCCGTTCTTAGGCACACAGGGAAGTGGAGATTCCTCCCTGGAATAAGGACACCCCTCAAGGACTGGAGCTCCCAGTGCTGTGTGGGGTGGGAACACAGGGATTCCCCCCCACTGCACAGCCCAGCTGCTTTTGGAGTGTCAGCATCTGTATTGCACGTGGATGGGGAGCTGGGTAATGTAGAAGGATCTCTGTTAGACGGATCTCTGTTAGACAGGTTCTTATGGGAACGAGGTCACAAACTGCTGTTACTGAGCAACCCAGMCTACAAGATAAAGCAGGATAAGATAGAAGAGGATGGGAAAGAGGAGGACSTGACTACAGCAGTGTAACACGTACCTCGCACTGACCATGAAGAAGAAACATAGTAAGAAGCAAGAAAGAACAAAGARCRATTGAAGAAGGAGCAAAATGCTGAAAACGCTGATTTAAAACTTCAAGGCATACAAAAACACGCTTTTGCAAATATTCCAATCATATGCTKAGATGTAATAGACAGACTGCTAAATYAACCAATGAATAATTGCTAATCATAAAGAGAGGCTGGCTTATGAAAGTAAATAAAAGTGCTTGTATAGTAATAAAGGTGGATCATGCTCATCATATTGGTGTCTGCGTGGTCTGTTATTCCCCATCGCCCAACAGGGTAACAAGAAAATGTCACTGAAAATTGGGAACTAAACCCCCTAACTTTGCAATTTCACTGTTAGAAAGCATTACTTTGTTTTGGTGCCAGGTGTGTTCAGGGGACATCTCCTCTWATCACGCATATTTGTTTGTATCTATATAACTAATACATATTAATACATTTCCCAAACTCATACATATATATGCTAAACATTCTCCTTGAATTCTTTCACATATTTCAATCACTTCTTGGAACTCATTTACATTAGAGTAGGGGTCACATGAGGGTCTCTGGTGGTCACTTGGGGAACAACCCATTCCCCAAATTATATCTTTTTGGACACAGGCCTCAACAAACCAGTTTCTTCTTGAATGCATCCCTGCTCTGGACATGGATCACCAGGCCTCTGCATAATGTGGGTCACTGTGGATCATCCAAWGTGTGTCCTCTGATGGGTGAAGAAGTTGGAGCAATAAAGCTCTTCCCCCAGCTGGGGCACTCACAGGGCTTCTGCTATTGGTGGGTGCATATGTGTCACGTCAAGGCAGAGCTGCAGGAGAAGCTCCTCCCACATTCCCAACACTCATAAGSTTTCTCCCAAATGTGGATGCATTGGTGGGTTTGGAGCTACAGTTGAAGCCCTTTCTGTAGCTGGTACGGCAGAAGGGCCTCTACTCTGTGTGCACCCCTGATGCCTGATTAGATTAGAGCTATTCTGAAACCTCTTCCCACACTCAGGACACTCGTAAGGCTGTTCCCCAGTGTGGATGTTGTGATGGCAGATCAAGTAGGAGCTGATGCCATAGCTCCTCCCACATTCCTGACACTTGTAGGGCCATTCCTCAGTGTGCAGATACTGATGGGTGATGCGGTTGGAGCTATCACTGAAACTCTTCCCACATTCCTCTCACTGCTAAGGGCCAGTTCTCCTATGTGGATCATCTGGTGACAAATCAGGCAGGATCTTCATCTGAAGCTCTTCCTGCATTCCCCACATGTAGGATTGTTCCCCTATGTGCAGACACTGGTGGGTGATGARGTCAGAACTGCAGCTGAAGYTCTTCCCACATTCCAAGCACTTGTATGGCTTCTCCCCAGTGTGCAGTAGCTGRTGGGTGATGAGCTTGGAGTTTTGACTCAAACTCTTCCAACAGTCAGAGCACTCATAGGACTTCTCTTGCTGGTGGGTCCGTTGGTGTCTGGTCAAGGCAAAGCTCTGGTTGAATCTCTTCCTACATTTGGGGTACTCATAGGGCCTCTCCCAGCAGGTGTCCATTGATGCCTGAAGAGATGTGAGCTGTTTCGAAACCTCTTTCCACAGTCAGAGCWCTCATAAGGTTTCTCCCAGCTGTGGACTCACCAGTCGATGACAAGGTCAGACCTGC